AATAAGATACCTATTTTATAAGTTTATGGAGAGTATTAAAGGAGTCAATGTTTGAAAAATGCTTGGAACACCTAGTGCATTCCAGTGATGTATGTATACGTTGTAAATAAAATTTAGAAATTCTTGTGACACTGTCTGTAGTCCCCAGAGGGTGAGACTATTGCCTGGATGTATGTAGAAAGCACTCCATGGCATACGATGAATAAATGAAGGAACAACATTAGCGGATGCATTACCAATGTCACCTATGTCATCCTATAGGCATTCCCAAGCCGAACCACACCCAGACACTCCTCTGTCCTGCATTGTCTTTGGAGGAATCACTGGGGTTTCTTTGACCCTGGTAACCGTTCCCAGTGAATGTTCTCTTCTCTCTGTCAGCAAACCCCAGTCTTTGTCCTAATTGCTGCAGCTCACAGGGTCTGCGCTCTGATCCTTGTCTTCACTCGAGGGACAAGTGCCATCACCAGAGCTGGGCACACACAGAGCCTGAGCCTTGGAGAAAATGTTTCCCTGGCCTGGGGCAGGTTGAAGAGCACAGTGGCAGCATGGGATTTGGGGAAAATCCTCCAGGTGTTGTCAGAAGGGATGGAGGCAAGGGATTTGTCAGCAAGGACTGGTCTGGTTGGTGGGCCTTGGTGGTTGAATAGTAGGGGAGGCAAACACGTTTCACAGATCCTTGCATAACACAATCAATATGACAGTCGTGCAATCAGAATCAACCTAATTTGGTTGAAAATAATCCAAGGTCATCTTCTCCTTGACTGACTCTCTAATCCAGTAGTGATTTACAATAGGGGTATTCGTGTTCTATCATCTCCTTTTCATTGATTGGCTAGAGTAATTATTCTTTACAAATCCTGTGTATTTTTACATAGTAAAGAAAAAAGGAGTTTTAAAACAACCCTCCTTGGAAAAGTCTCCATAACATACTGAATGAATAACAGAAGCCACAATGGGAAATTCACAAAATATCTTGATCTTTAGTCTCTGGTATTAGATCTTCCTAACTGGTAAATTGTCTTGACTTCTGACTTCTTTCTTGAGATTAGTCCACTGAGGACTAAGGACGAGTGCAACCTCATGCCATTTGAGAAGCAGTGGTGGGACTCTAGGACAATGTTTGTTCCATTTTGTAAGTTTGTGTGTGTGTGTGTGTGTATGACAGTTTTTGCTGCATCTTTCAGTGTGGGCCAGTGTAGACTCCTTTTCTTGGGAAAAAATTTCCCTAACCACTTTCTCTGGGCTTTATTTTCACTGATGGCTTGACCAGCGCTGTCCAATAGTAACATTAAGCACTCTATATTATGGAATTTAAAATTATTTTACTAGCCACATTTTAAAAAGTGAAAACAAACAGGTGAAACTAATTTTAATAGTATATTATAACCCATTATAACCAAGATGTTATCATTTGCGCATGTAGTCTATATAAAACGTAATAATGAGACAGTTTACATTTTTTTCCTGGGTTTCATAAATCCAGTGTGTACTTCCCACTTACAGCACAATCTCCATTTGTAAGTTGAATCTTTTCAGATACACATTCTCTCTACTGAGATTTAATGTTCTCCGTTGTAAAATAAGAATCACATGTCCAAGTTGCTCCAAACATACTTAAAGAGTTTTATACTTGAAGATCATGTTGGATGAATAATGAAAACTTCCTATTGGGACTGGTAACAAAGGAGTCATTCTGACCTTATAAGGGAAATACCCATAGAATGGTGAGGGCAGATGGCGTATGGGGTGGTCTGAGGAGGGGGTTTGAGGTGAGGCCACAGAGACACATGATGTAAATGACCTTTGCTCAGTGTTCACAACTGAGGGGAAGGAGTAGAGAGAGCAACATTTCTGTGAAATATCAGGCAAGTTAAGGGACCTTGAATAAGTATGAAGGAAAAAGAACTGTGGGGAATATTTGAAACAAGCTTTGTGAAAAATCAAGGAAAAAATATGCCAGCCCACAGAAAGGAAGTAAAATTTCCAGGCATTATGGATGCTTCCCAGTTGATGCAGATGATTTTGGATTTACAGTGGTACCAACATAATCACGTTGTATGCTTTTCTTAGCAGTTATCAGAAGACAAGCAGTAGTTAGGGTATGGCAGATAATCGGATCTTCTGAGTTTTACAAGGCAGACATGATGAGTGGTCAGGAATTTTGGATCATTCCAAGGGAATTATTGACATCACAGACCATGGAATCCAGGAATGATAGAAAAGAGAAATTAAGGTAAGGATATGGAGATCTGGCATCACTTCGATCTTGAGGAACAGGTATCTATTTTATGAGTGTTTGAGTAAACACCAGAAATCAGGAGTTTGTGGTGGGTGAATATGTATTCTGAATTATTTATTTTTGAACATGACCATTTCGGTTGATGGAAACATCTGGGATATGAGAGTGAGTCACTACGAGTGGGGTGGATGATAACTTCACTACTGATTTAAGCTCTAATGGAGCTATGAACACCAAGTGGTCAATGGGTTAATCAAAGGAATAGTCATATAGTACAGAAGAATGGTGGGATTTGGGATTTAGAGAAAGACTGGGGACTGTGTGTCCTGAGAGGGATCACCAGGGCTTTTGTGGTTGAGAGTGACAAGGACAAAAAGAGAATAAAGTCATACTCATAAAGGAGAACATCTACAAGATGAGGGAGAAGAAATGACCTGCAGTAGTCCTGAATTTTGACCTCGAGCTTTCTATTCTTGACCCAAATCTCTTTGATGATGTGCTGGGACACAGGTCAGATTAATCCCCACAGGGAGAGGAGGAGGGTAGAAGTTAAAGACATCTGAAGAATTGTCCTGAGAAGGCAGGCTTCATTTGTCACTTTGATCCAATTCCATGATTTATTTTGATAGGGTAAGAGGAAAAGAAGTATGATGGTGAAGTCTTCACAGAGGAAGCAACATGGTTTTGGAAATCAGTTCAAACCAAAGTCTGGTTTGAGCATCTCCATCCCTTTGAGGATGTCCAGTTACATATTCAAGAGGCCAGTTACTAGAATCACATCCTATCCTGGCAATGAGGTCAGATGCCATCAATGGGAGGAAACCTTGGAGCAGCCCCAACAACTCTGCTGGCAGAAGAGACTGCAAGGTCT